TCAATCGGTTGATCAATCAATTAATCAATCAGTCAACCAGTAACCCACCAATCGATTGATCCATTGATCCATCCACCAAGCAGCCAACCAACCAAGCAATCGATCAGACCGATTGATTGATCAATCAACCAGCCAATCAATGAATCAACTAACCATCCAATCAATCAATCAGTCTGATCGCTTGCTTTTCTTTCTCCTCCTCTCGCTGTCTCCCAGGCGGTGTACATGTTCTACGCCCTCGCCATCGTGTGCGACGACTACTTCGTTCCTTCGCTGGAGAAGATCTCAGAGGTAACTGCTGCTGGCCTGGCCGCCGGGCTGGGGGGTGACCGGCGCCCCCTGGCTGCGGACACTCGTTATATCTCAGGCCGGTACCCCGTGTCTGTGATTTAGGAAGCGCTGCTGATGGGCTGATTTCTGTGCGCCAAGCGAGCTAGAGACAGTGCCTCACAGCGTGCCGGCCCCTCTCTGGGGTTTGAGTCACGGCGTGAATCCGACCGGAGAGACGGTGGCGGAAACTGGGGAGTGGCTGTGGCTCGATCTGTGCTTCCCCGAACTCGTGCTTCTGCCCGTCTGTCAGTTGCTGCCTGGAACCGCGAGGTGGCCAGATCTCACGCATTAGCCAGGTGTGCTGTTGCCTTCACCGAAAGGCCCCGTGGACCGACGATCCCGCTAATCTTCTTCTCTCCCCCCCTCCCGCCTCTCTCCTCCCCCGCCCTCTCCCTCTCCTATTCCCTATCCCTCTCCCTCCCCCATCTTTCCCACGCCCCCTCGCAGAACCTCCAGCTCAGCGAGGATGTGGCAGGCGCCACCTTCATGGCGGCCGGCAGCTCGGCGCCCGAGCTCTTCACCTCGCTCATCGGTGAGCGGGGGCACCCTGGGTGTGGGGGGTGGGGGGACCCACTGGGGCCACTGGGGTATAATTAGGAGACGACGACAGACGACTGCAATTCATCCATGTATCGCTAAGTACCGGTACCGTTAATATCTCTCGCGATCAAATGCGCCGATTACTTACTGATTGATTGATCGGAAACCCACCGTGTCACGTTTTTTGGTGTCAGCCGATGAACACAGCGATGAAAATGCACGTGGCGATAGGCTCAGGGCGATGAGACGTCAAGTCTTCAGAGTCACTGGAGAACCTGAACGTCTGTCCTGGTGATCACAACAGTGCTGGTGCTGTTTCGGTTCTTCCCTTCACTGTACATGAGCCTCTACCGCCATTTGTATCCATCGCTAAGGCAAAACGATTGTCCGGACGAGTTTTATCAGCTGGGCTACCACCGTATGCAGGAAGACT